TTTCCCCTTCAAATATGGTTGTTTTTACGAAATAAAACTACGCAGTGAAACTATAAAGTATGTCTTCTCTCCTCGTCAGGCACGGCCTCGCATGTGTACCGATGTATTATAATCGCTGATGATCGCTTTCGTCATCGTGAATAAGTGAAGTCCCGCCTGCCTCTCGGCAGACGCGCTGTGGCGAGGCGCGGGGCTGTGCAGCAACTCGCGTTGCACAGCGGGCGGGGCGGGGCGGGGCGAGCGTTACTGGGTCACATCGCGAGGAGAGTAGAAGAGCGCCCGGCTGGGGGCGCCAGGCGGCGCCAAGTGGCGCCAGAACCGTTTCGGCGGCGTTGGAGGGGGAGGGGTTTGGCGCGTGCCCGCGAATACGAGGATCGCGGCAGCGCTTCGGAAGGGAAGGAGGATGGGAGTTGGAGTTGTGTGTGTGTGTGTGTGTGCTCGTGTGTGTGTATATGTGTTTTTGCGGGAGGGGGGGGGGCGATTCGCACAGTAGGGGAGCAGGTCAGTGGAGTGTCGGCAAAGTTTTTAACTTCGCACATGGTTTTTGTTTATTGAGGGGGGTCGACCACTCAGATAATAGTATCTGTGCAAGTGCGTCGGATATCCATACGCAGACCTGTCGGTTTAAGACATAATTTCACACACCTGCAGATGTGTGAATTACCATCCACACACTTGGGGTCGAGTAAATCTTAATGGCTACCCATAAAATACTACAAATCTCTTTTCGTATACCCAAGATGAGTGTGAGAATTCGACGGAATTCAATTCCCTGCAGGTTTTTAACTTTCCTACACTTTGGGTTACCAGTGTGTGTGTCTGGTAGTAGTGTCTTTTTGTTTCTCATTGGCATTATCCGCACTGCTTATTAACGTGAACATCAAGGATTGCGTTGTGTGAGGTCATCTTGGGTCTTGTGCCGAGATGGCCTGGGGCAGAGGGGGGGGGGGGTGATGACCTGATGCTGACCCGAGCTAACAGGTCACCTCCTCCCCCTTCCTCCCCCGCCGTGTAGAAGCCCCACGAGGGGCGGTCTGGCCGCTGCGCCCTGCGGCGGCGGCACGCCAGCCGGGCCCGACCAGGGGTCGACATATATTACCTCAGCGCGAGAGATCACACGAGCGACCTGTGTCACTCTTGAGGGCGGCGCGGCGAGGTGTGCGCCTGTCGAGCCGGTGGGGTGACCCCCCTGTCAAAAAGCGCAGCTCTACACTGCCCCCGAAAGCGCCCCTGAGATATGATGTGTGGGTGTGCGCGGGTGTGCGGTTTGTGAACGAGACCGCCGTTTCTGCTGCCCAAAGGAAGCCATGTGTCTGTCTGACATTGGCCTATTTACTACACGCTAGGGCGAGTGTGTGTGTGTGTGTTGAGACGCGCTTGAATGTGTGTGTGTGTGTGTGTGACCAGGGAGTGATTTGAAGCAGACTTTGTCTTTTGGTTCGCCGCGCCTGGCGCCGCGGGGTCGTGCTGGGTGCTGGGTACGTAACTGTAAGTAAGTAGAGAAGGTCGAGGCATTTGAGGCTCCCCCTCTGCCGTTCCCATCGACGAGAGAGAGGTGGAGGGAGGGGAAAGGGGATGGCGAGGGAGGGGACGGGAGCGGAAAAGGATGGCTGGGGCTGGAGAGGAACGGCCGATGTGTTGTTCATTCCTGAAGTCAGCTATGAATGTCGTAAATCGACTGCACGATTTATTGTTTGCTCTCTTTTTATTCTCTCCCCTGCCTTTTCCTCTTTCCCTCTCCCTCCCTCTCCCTCCCTCTCCCCCTTCCCACCCCCCTCTCTCTCTCTCCGCGCGCTCACGACGCTGTCTTTCCCACAGTCGCGTGTTTGTTTCGCTCGGAGTCACTTACGCCCTGGAGTTACGCCGCCGCCAACGTTGTCTACATTTTTTCTGTGTCCGCTCCTTCCCAGTCTCCCTCTTTCCCTCTTTCCTGTCAATTTTTATTCGTCACTTATTGGTCTGTGCTCGTTATCTGTACACCGCTTGCTGATTGGATGCAGTCGTGCACCGCGGTGCGGGGGAGAGAGAGAGAGAGAGAGGGAGGGGGGGGGGACGGGGATTATCAGTAATGATGACATTGTCTCTGGCTGAGAAATGGACGATAAATTAGCATCCTAGGGCTAGGGTATCTCGCGGCGAGCAATTTGTTTTTTCGTTTTCACGGTGGTGCCTGGGCTGGTTCGGGTGCGGGGGTGTTAGCGCCGGTGACATCCCCGGGCCGGCACCGGAAGGCAGACGAGCGCGGCGGAGTCTCCCCGCGTGACTCTGGGGCGTTAGCGGCCGTGACCTTCGGGACCTTCGGCACCTTCGGCACCTTCGGGACCTCGCTGCCCCCGTGTGTGTGCGTCTGCGGGGGTAACACGGTGCGGTAGGAGTACAGAGACGAGGTGGTTGTCGAGTGCTGTGCTGGGGTGGCACTTTGCCTTTGTCGAAATCGTTTGCTATTAAAAATGCGCGAGCGTCAACTTTGACGATCCCAGGGCCCTAATCGTGTCGAGATTTCACCTCCATGTGCCTCTTTTACTTATGTGTTGGCCATGAAAGGAACAGCGTCCCATTCGCTCCTTGCCCTTGCAATCGTGTTTGCATTTCCGTCCCATAATCCGGCGACTTGTGAAAACGATGGCGATATCGTCGCTTCCCGTCTTGAAGCACGCACGCGCCAAAATTGTGTGCGCGTCGAAAGACGCGGAGGTTTATGACAGCACCTGATAAGGAGAGGCTTTTGTGTCGTGAGTCACGACCGTGTGTCAGTGATAGCGGCCGTCACCTCTCCGCCTCACTCGCCGCCAGGTCGACCGCTATGACGCGCGGTAAGTGGTGAGTGTGACCACAGTGTAAGCACAATGTGGCCGCAGTGCGACCACAGCGTGACCACAGCGTGACCACAGCGTGACCACAGCGTGACCACAGCTTGACCACAGCGTGACCACAGCGTGACCACAGCGTGACCACGGCGAGACCACGGCGAGACCACAGCGTGACCACTGCGTGACCACAGCGTGACCACAGCGTGACCACTGCGTGACCACAGTTGACCACCGCGAGGGCGTAGGTCCCATCGTGCTTTGAGCGGCCTGCTTGCTCAGGCCCGGGGCGTAACTCACTTAAAGGCCCCCGCCGCGGCGCCGCCACCCTTGCCGCGCGACTCATTCCGCCCCCTGAGCTGAGCTGAGCCGAGCCGGTTTGGGGCTGGCGCGTGGTGCGACCGTATCAGCAGAAATTTTCTTTTCCCCCGTGAGGTTAAGGAAGTTAGGAAAAGAAGCCCCTGCCTGCCTCACTCTCATACGCGCTGCAAGGTAGAAATAATGTGGAAAAAATAAAAATTGGAAAAATGTTTTTGCAAAAGCTGAAAATTGCGCCTTTTGTATGGGATGGGTGCGTTTTTCTCGTTTCAACATGATATCATGAAATGTGCTTGCCCCCAATCCCCTGAAGCAAAGAGCATTTCGCTAGCGGCCGAGGGTTTGGCGCTCTGACCTCTCCCCTACTGGGGGACAGGTGCAGCATGTCACTCTATTTTACACGCAGAGAGGACCTCGTTTGTCTACCGCTGCGCTGCGCTGGGCGGCGCGCAGACTAAGTAGGGGCACAGCGTACACTGCCAAATGCTTATACTAAGAATAGATTAGAAATGCAAAACTCTATTCTTCGTAGCCGACGAAGAATGATCAAGCGTTGTATATTACCTATAACTTATTCAATTAATTATATGTAAACAGACTCGTACACTTTTTGCGTTGTGAGTTGAGTCCAGAAATTGAGTGAGTTTGAGGGAGTGACGGAGTGAGTGAGTGAGCTGTCGGTGAAGTAGGATGCTTTCGCTAGTGCGCCTCGCTAAAGCCGTAAACGGAAGCTGTCTCGCTTCACTGGGGATGCAGCATGTAAGCCTTACCCGCTCCGCCCCGCCCCGCTCCGCCCCGCTCCGCCCCGCTCCGCCCCGCCCCGCGGTGAGTGGCCGGTATGAAATATTTATACAACCGAGTGCGTATACGCATCGCATGCGGTCGGTACCCTTTCGAAAACAATTTCACACACTGCCTCGTAAACACTTTTGCCCGTCTTCATGCATGTAAAATATTGTCTCTTTCTTGTAAAATCGCAAATTTATTTACCCTTACTAATTTTAAGCATATATTAAATAACTCTTCAAGAAACAAATCAGAATTTTCAAGAGCAAGTAGATGGCCTAGATGGCTAACTAGCTGTTATGTATATTAGTGTTGTTTATTGACTTTATATGAAAGTTAATTAATGGGTCGTTGTGCTATGGACTGTGTTAGATCCAAAGAATTCATCGACATTCTTTACACTGCACTGAGAGGAAGTCATATCCCTTTGCTGAATTGGCCGCAGAGTCATATCAGGATTGGAGCCTTCCGCCGCGAGTGCTTCCCGAGGCGTCCTGGAGGGCCCGCTGGAGAGACTGCGCTGGAGCTCCGCCGGACCTACCGGATGCAGTGGAGGAAGTTTGGGGGTGTGGCGGGCTGAACACAGTAGTCAGTTGTATTGGGGGCGTTCTCTCTCTCTCCGTCTCATGGGCGGCTTCCGTTCGCCGATTCTGTTCCGGCTTTGGTGCTCTGGTGCTGCGTCATTCTTGTGGAGGCGTTGGTGCCACGGCAGGAGCGGGCCAGCCGCGGGCCTTGGGGGCCACGGCCCGCCCTGCTCGTGGGCTGTCTGGTCTGCGTCCAGTCATAGTTGTTGTGTGCGACCGATCCAGAAAAGCCCCAGCTGGGGTCAACTGCCACTGCCACACCAACGGGCCTTCAAAATGAAAGGAGAACTCAAGCTCGCTCTTTGACTTTTGCAAGGATTTTTCATTACATACAAATATAGTGTCAAGAGATTAGAGTAACCTAATTGCACTTGGACTGGCGTGATTTTACAGAAAAAGTGGAAAATGTTTGTTAGATGTACAAATAGACTTGCAATAAATTTTGAGTTGAGGGCCAGCAATATTTTCGTTTTCTGAAGCGTTTCTTTCATATTGTGTGTTGCAGGTGGGGTGCCGAGAGCCCGCTCGCTTTGATGAGCGAGGGTGCGGGAGCTACCCAGCCAGAGCCAAGGTGCCTGTTGGTGATAGCTCAGGTGTGTAACAAGGACGAGAACACCAATGTAAGTGCGTGCACGAACAACTAGTAGCCGTGTTTTTTAAAGTAGTCTTTGTTGGTTTTGTACGTTGATGTAGAAGTATTTAAAATCTAGGTTAAACGAATCTTCCCCATGTGTCCATCCGAGCGAGCGCACGCTCATGTCCACACGGTGTCTTCCGTTACTACGGAGAGATAGCCGGACTAGACTAGAGCCAGTCTAGCTAGCCGGCCCTAGAGCTGCCTAGCGCACCAGGCCATACCGGATCGGGCGGGTATATGAGTAGTTGCGCAGAGATTATCATTGAAGCGTGTGGTGGTCACTACCAGACGACACAACGGGACGACGAGCCCGCATGACACGCGCAGAGAAAGAGGGAAAGAGGGAGAGAGAGAGAAAGAGAGGGAGAAATGCAGTTAGCCGTGCAGGTGCTAAGTGTCACCGTGGTCCCGGTCGGTGGCGGGCGGCTGCTGACTGTACCCCAAGTGCGAACTGGTTCAATGCACCCGATGGTCTCTGCCTCTCTGCCAAGAAGCAAATCTACTCTGTATACCTCGATGTACGCGCTATTTCGTCAGACAATATCAGATGTCGCCCGGAACAGTGTTTCTGGTGGAATGTGTCATATGGCCTCGCATATGGCTCATAAAAGCCGATTAAATTATTAAAGATCGTCAGTTTTGATTTTGTGTGGATGCAGATGCCGCACGTAAGTTTGTTATTTTATTAACTTCAATGACAAATTTATTTTTAGAAAACTTTGTTAAAGTTCAGGGATTGTGCGCGTGGATCCACAATCTTAGGTTGGGAATTAGGGCACAATGGTTCGAAAATTGGCAACATTCGTAAAAATGCGTGCTGCACTTTGCAAATCAAATGTCACTTGCTTAATTAATTAATTGCGTATTCTTATAATTTCTCATTCGGTCTAGACTTAAAATAGGATAAAATGGATGTATTTTGTGATGACGTTTTGTTTGGAACTCGTTTTGAACGTAAGGAAGTCACTGGCTTCTGCGGGTTTCCTCCCGGCTACTGTGGGTCCTGCCTGCGGAGGTTGCCTAGGGACCAGTGCATTTGCGAGGGCCCTGTAGGTCCTGTGAGTCTTGCGGATCCTGTGGGACCTCGTGCACTGAAAACAGCGTAATAACGCATGTTATCACTTGATGATAAAGCGGTGCACATTTTATTTTTTGTGGAATATTTTCTAAACGAGCTCTGAGATTTAATGGTCGAACGCACCATCAGATTTCTCGCGAAATTTCCGATCAAACAAGCCTACATGTGATAGGATTCGGAGTTCAAATAATAATAATACGGAATAAGATGTGTTGTTAGAGAACCTTTGTTCAGAACCCTATCACATGTAGGCTCGTTTGATCGAAAATTTTAGGGGAAATTCATTGGTGCTTTCAAAAATTGAATTTCAGCTCTCGTTTAGAAAATATTCCACAAAAACTGAAATGTGCACCGCGTTATCATCTAGTGATAACATGCGTCATTACGCAGTTTTCAGTGTGCGGAGGCAGGCGAGGGACCAGAGCTTCTGCGTGGCCTCCTGCGTGGCTGGGCTGGGCCGGGCTGGGCCCTGCAGCCCTGCCGCTGGCAGGACTAACAGTCGTGACTAGCGGCGGGCCGGCGGCTCTCCGCATCCTCGCGCCGTAAGCCTGCTATCATGAGATCGCTCCGCCCGGCTCCGCCCGGCCCGGCCCGCCTGCACAGATCGGCCCGCGCGGAGCTGCGCAGAACGCGGCCCGGCGGCCCAGCCCCGGTCTGGTTTGCCGGCCGGATCTGGTCTGATCCCTTTTCCAGTCCAGTCGTCCTGGGGCTCCTGGAGCTGGCTCCTGAAGCCCGCGCCGGACTGTGCGGCTCCGGTGCTCTTTGATCACCAGCTAGGTCCGTTTGAAATGCGCGCGCGTGGCTCCTCGTCGCCTTGTCGGAGGCTAGGGCTGCTCCTCCCAGCTGGTCGAGCCCCGCGGCCTTGACCCTCAATTTCTTTTAATCCACATCCGGTTGTGGTGTGCGGTATGCACCAGTTTTTCCTCGCAGGGTAGTGTTTTGGATTCCAGTGCAGATCCTGACGCACACCAGTCTGAGGCCGTTGAGGCCTTGCCGGGACCGTATAAGGGGTCGGGTCGGTCTAGCCGCGCGTGGCGCCGTGGTGGCGTGGCGCGGCGCGGTGCGGCACAGAGAGGCTCCTCCCGCACTCGAGTGTGGAGGGCCAGGGCCGAGGCAACAGCAGCCCCGCCCCGAATCCTGTACAATTAGCCGTGCTTTTGTTTAGCTCGGGGGTTTGGGGGACCTTCAGGAGATGATGCACACTGCAAAGGAGTGAGGAGAAGGACGCAAATCAGCGAGACTTTGCCGGGTTCAATATCTTGAGGCAAATAAGGTGGTGTGAGCTGGTGTGCTGCAGCACCTCGGACACTCCCAGGAGAGAAGACGGACCCGCGACCGTTCGGCGTACACTCGGAATATCACGAAGTCGACACTTGACCTGACAGTGTGGTTGGGCCCTTTGTCGGCGGTGCGACCGGTGTGGCGTGTTTGTTGCACTTGACCGCCGCGGTCGCTTGCGCTGTGGACAGGTGTGCGCCTCTGTGTGTGTGTGTGTGTCTATGTCGGTGTGTGTGCGTAAGCCACAAGCGTCACGCCCTTGCAAGCATGTGCGTTCCCGGGAAAGGGGCGATGAACCTCGACGACCATACCTTTTGAGCTTTTGCGCTATCCTGGGCATGGCGTATCTTTTTGGCAAAGGTTTTTTCCGGTTTTCCCAGAAGAGTGATTGTCCCCTCCCTTACGCATCGATAACACCTAGAGAGCCACTATAGTGATGAGATTACTACAGCGCATTATTTTCATCGAGATTTTCATGGAACATCATACAGAGTCATGTTACGGATACTAATTGTGCCATCAGCTAGTCCGGCGCGTTGTCGCTAGACGTGCTAATGGGCCCAAGTGACTCTTTCTGGGGCCGACCTGCCTGGAGAGATAGCTCCAGGTGCGTGCGCTTCTGTGTGTGTGTCTGTGTTGGTGTCTGCCTGTGGCACGCGCCTGTTGACATTCTGGTTCCTTTCACCTCTTTTTCGGAGCCCTTTAAAACGACCGGTCTGGTCGGATACACACTTCAGAATCAAGCGAAGCCCTTTGGATCCTTGATCCCAGTTAAGGAAAAACAAAAAGCCTTGGCGTCTCTGTAGTTTGTTTTACCACCTACATCCTAAAACGCCTTTTTGCTCGATACATGAAATACTCTTGCATTAGTCATGAACATGCGCATTGGAACCAAATGGAATATTACTGTATGATCTACATGTTCATGCCCAATGCAATTCCCCCCCCCCCTCTCTCTCTCTCTCTCTCTCACTCAGCTGTGTACGCCACTGACCAGTTAGACGCCCGCCTTTCTCTCCCGTAGGGCTCCGCGCGCGCACAGTGAGTCATCTCGGGTCGCACGCTCCGCACGTGCACGCGCACACACGCACAGGCTCGATCGTCTATGATGCACAGAGAGAGAG